TAAACTGAAACGTGACTAAAATTAGTTCCAATTGGGCGATAGAACTTATGATATTACGATTGCCAATTAGATTTGCTTCGTAGTTTATGCAAATATCTTTAAAAGAAACTTAAATCATTGTCATTTCCTTCCTTAAATGAGCTCTTAATAAAAATCCAAATTAAGTCCAAATTTGGCCTACCAAACCCATTTTCATTAAAGTTTCCTGAAAACAAGAATCAATTGACTCTCTACATAGCTTGTTGTTCGCTTTTTAATACAATCATATTATAAACGAAATAATTTTTTTGGGCGCGCCTTTTGTAAATGGTTAAACGCTTAAATGCTCTATCAACAAAATGCCACAAATTGTGGCGTTGTCAGCGGCAATACGAGGCAGATCAAAAATAAAACCCTTTCACTTCCGACCTATTACCTATGCATTTTTGTCTTTCTGCTTTTTTTGGGTCAAAGTTTGTCAGAGTTAGCTTCATTGTTGCTGTTGTGTTATTTTGGTCTTCCCAACAAAATTCAACGCCAACGCAACAGCGCAGCAAGGGGCAGCAAATTTAATGCAACATCATCGACAGCGACCGCAAAGCAAGCAACAACAATAAATTGTTGGCTTGTTGCAGTTGTTGCCTTCATTCAGATTGAATTCGTTTTCGTGGGCGTCGTCCCAACGCATTATGTTCGAGTAGATACAAATTTATTTGTATTTTTTGTTCTGTTTTTTTTTTTTCATTCTGTTTTGTGGCAAGTTTAATTTGTTTGTAGCACGTCCGTTTGTTTTAAACGGTGTCATTTGAGCAACTCGACAACAACAACAGCAATGATACGAACAATCACAAGAGCCCTACGTTGATCGTGTTGACTTTTGGCCTCAGATCAAGAAACAATTGTGAGAGGTGGACAAGGCGAGACCAAATCAAATTGAGCGTCAATAAGCTGTGGCAGGCAAATTTATTTTGTTTGTTGCTGTTGCTGTTGCTGTGGCTGTGGCTGTTGCAGGTAACGATTATTGCAACACGTTGCGGCGCTGCCAACAGCTGTCAGCTGGCACTTTGGTTACGCTTTATCGGACATCTGCGGCACATGCACACGCGGCGTATGCGCAATTGCCATTTAATTAAAATTGTTTGCACAGCTTCGCCGATTGCTTGGCCACATTATACATATATATATATATATTATATATATATATTTGCCTCTTTTATTATTTAATTTACCTTTTATTTTTTATTTTTGGCGCGCAGGTGCGCAACGGAAACAGCTACAACAACAGCAACAAAATGTTCACACGCTACACGACTTTGGCTAATTAATATGCATAACTCGGACTCCACGCACTCGAGCATTTAATTATTGTCATTAGTTGAGCAAACGCAATGCGGTGAGCACTTGTCGTTGTTGTTGGTACTGCTTTTAATACCCTGTACTTAGTGCAAATGGGTAAGGAAACAGTAAACAAGATTATTTTATACTTTGAATATCTCACATCGTACTTCCTCTTATTAAGGAAGTATCAATTTGAAAGGTGCTTTAGTATAAACTAACTTTCAGGTTACATATTTAAGCCCTGAAATTAAACTATGAACATTGGAGTTATTCAAGAAAGCATCTCTTAGAGTGTGGGAATTCGGGAAGAAGAACGTTAAGAAGGTTACAAGAAGTAAAGGCGGGCTGTAGGGCATCTTCTAGCTAGGCATGCCCGATTAGAGAGCTTTCATTTGTATTTTTCTTTTTTTTGTTTGGCATAAGAAGCGGCCAACTGGGGCAGCAATAAACATTAAAATAAGCAAATCAAATTATAAAATAAAAAAAATACAAAAACGCAAGAACAAGGCGTCTTCATTAATGATAGGAAGTAGGCACAGAGATCGGCGGGCAGACCGGCAGGCAGTCAGCCGAATGAAAGTAAAATACATTTGACAACACCAAAATTTTCGTTTCAGCCAACTGTTCGGCCGCCTTTGGGCGCATTAATACCAATGGCTAATTAACTTGTTGGCGAGCTCGTAAAATAGTTTGGCCGCTCATCAAGATAATAAAGGCCAGCGAGCAAGTTTTGTTTGCTTTGTATCTTATTGTTTTTTATCCTCCTGTTCGCTGTTGGTTTTTGGCCGCCTTTAATTGCGTTGAAAATAAAAGCGAAAAAAAAAGAACGGCTGCATACAGCACACCGAACTAACAATACCCTTGCAGACAAATAGCTAAAAACAAAAGATTAATAAAAGAAAGTTTCATTTTCGATTGACCGTTCACATAGTGCAACTATATGATATAGTGTTCTGTTTTTGATAAGATTTGGCTCATATGTGAACTAGCTAATGAAGAGAAGAGAAAGAGACAGACGGACATGGCTATATCGATTCGTTCGTTGATATTGATTAAGAATGTATATACTCTATTAGGTCGCAGCTGTTTTCTACTATGCGTTACATACTGCATGACAAACTGTAATGCCCTAAAGCTGACTAACTACAGCGTCAGCTGCAAGCCGAACAGGTCACATATCGCTCGCTGCTCTGAATGCCAGCGACTACCGTGCGGTGAGGGGAAGGAGGGTACAGCTGGGACTGGGTAGAAACAGACACACGGACTACACGTCTCTGCAGTCACTTTTGGTAATTAGATTCTCGAGTTGAGATAATGAACGGGCACATTAAAATTTTACAGCCACATTGCAACTGATTGCGAGCCACGAAATTGAAAGTATTCAATAAATTAACTAAAAGCCAACTAAAATGTCAAGACAGCCAAGGCAGTCAAGACATAAGGTAGCCACGCCCCTTTGTGTGCCCGTGTGTGTTTACCATTTTGACAGCACAAAATAATTATAATTGTGTCCGTCCTTGTTTGCATTTGCCCGTTGTCCAATTGGGCTCATTTTAATTGAACCCGCAATTGTGCAATAACCTGAAAAGCATTTGCTGGTCATAATTGCCAGGCACTTTAGGCAAACAGTCAGCTAGAAGTTATGCGCATGCAGAGACAAAGAGCCCAGCAATTAATTTTAATTCGTATTTAAACGTATCTCAAAGCAATATGTAAAACGTTGTTCAACTTGATAATTATATATCTCAAGATAGACCCAACTTGACATTTACGAGCTTAAGTATGATATAACTGCAAAATATCATAAGTATTACGACTATATTATGAAGTAAAAATAAACGATGAACAATTTAATTGATATACTATGAACAACTTTTATACTTTTAAAAATATATCGACTAAGCGCAGTTATAAGTTTGCCAATGCCAACATATGACGCCCATTAAATTAGATTGTATGGCAACACTTTTCAAATGTTTATATTATTTATCAGAAATGCGAATAAAAACAATTAAATTTTAGGTTCGTCGGCAGAACCTCAAGCAGGAGGTTGGTTCGAGCCACAACCAACTGCCTGCCATCCGCTTTTTCGGTTGGGCTTCGAACCAACCTCCTGCTTTGAAGCTAGGCTCTTGAGCCTGGGATTTCACATCCATGAACCTTAGGCTTTGGTGCAAGCCTATGCTTGTCATATGTTTTCAACATTTTTTTGAAACACTCTTAATTTTTAATTTACTGTTGTTTGTTGTACTGGGAATAGTGCAAGTTATCATATAAATATGATTATATATGTTCATATACAATATAAGAAATAAATTTAATCCCTTACTCGAAATTCTATTTACCAAGGATGATTAAATAAATTGGCTGTAATAAATTGTAAAAAATAAATGTGAGTTCCGGGTTTGAAGCAGTTGGGTTTGGGTTTGGTATACAGCCTAGTTTAGTAATACCAAAGATAAGCGTTTGTTTTTGACCTTCCAATTTTTTGAGGACTTGGCTGAATTTGACTTTATGAGCAAATATTGAAGAAATTCAATTTATATTTAATTTGTTCTGTGTTATTGTTTTTGTCTGTTTTTCTTCTTTTCTGTATAAAAAGCTCAACTCTTGACATTTGCTCGACAGTTTTATTGGTGAATAATTGCGTATCATTAAACCATTTGTAAGGCATGTCGACCAGCAATGATTGATCTATTCGATGCCAATGTGAAAACGAAATAAAACAGCTGCCAGAAAAGAACAGAAACAAGTAGAATTGTGCTGCACGAGCGAGAGAAGGCAGCTTAGTGACACGGCAGGGGCAGAATATATAAATTACTTATATGAAGGCTTCTGCCTTTCAGGCAGGGAGTGGCGCGCCGTGGCGTGGCAAAAGAATGTGGATTATGGCAATGATTTTTGGTATATATATTTTTGTTGTTGCTGCTGCCAACCGCTAAAATAATCCATTAAAGATAAACTAAAAGCAAACACTAAACTCTTGTGCTAAAGCAAAGCAAACCGCAGCGCACCCACACGCTGATAATCAATCATTTATCAATAAGCGACGGCACACGCCCAAAACTGCAGTTGATGTTGTTGTTGTTGTTATTCCTATTGTTGTTGGTGTTGCTGCTGCTACTGCTGTTGATTGGTTGCTCTAAGCTTTTAGTTTGCGTTTAACGCCTCATAGATTCTCTAAAGCGCTAAGGCGTAGGAAGGGCGAGTGCGAGGGTTCAAGTGCGGCCCACATGGGAGACGTCAGTGTGTCTATGATAAAGTGCTATGCCTGGAAATGCGTGCGTGTGCGTCAATGTGTGTGTATGTGTGTGTGTTGCACGCATGATACGCTGCGGTGTGCCTCAGTTGTTGCCCAAATGCCTGATAAGGCGCTGCCAGAATGTGAGAATTATTGACTGTGCGTGTGTGTGCTTGTGTTTGTGGAGAAAACTAAAACCGCATCAGCTGCCATTGGTTTAATTAATTTTCAAGAATTCTGATTTGATTTGAATCTGAACAGCAGTCATTGATTTGGCTGCAGCGCGTTGCATGGCAAGGGCAGTAGTTAGGAAAATTGTGGGAAAACTCTCGACTTATCAATATGCGGGCTGGCGCTTAATTGAAATTTATGCAATGCTAACTTCTATTTAGAAAATTATAAAACATAACTAAGCATTTGAGTTTTCTTAATATATTTGCAGAGCACAAAGAAACAGAATGCGGATGGCACTGCTAGCGGCAGCAGTGGGAAAAGGAGCAGCAGCAGCAGCGCTTGCAGGAAATTTGAAAAGCGCGACGGATCATGTAAAAATGCAAAAATGTGAAATCAACTTTTATGTGTGTGTGGCCCAAGGCAATGAATTTTAACGAGAGCATTTAAAACAATACGAAAAAGCGTTAAGACCTTTACAAAAACAGGCTGAGGAAATTACAAGCGTAAACAGCAGCAGCAGCAACTGCCACAGAAACAGCAACAGCTTGTGAAAACGGGCTTAGCACGTGACGCGGCGCTAAGCGAATATCCATTTTGTAACGGTAATTGGTTGCACACACGTGAGCGCACATCAAGTACTTGGCAAGTGGCAAAAATGGCCGTTAGCAACATTGTTTGCGAATGGCTGCGCGCCCTTGGGCTGGCGCAGTACGCTGAAAGTTTTCTGGACAATGGCTACGATGACTTGGAGATATGCAAACAGGTCGGTGATCCGGATCTGGATGCCATTGGCGTTGATAATCCTGCACATCGCCACAAGTTGCTAAAGAGCATACGTTCGCTGCGCGAAAAGGGCGCTGCCTCAGTCTATTTCATGCTCAACGATCCCAATTCGCTATCTGGCAGCATGGAGATCCTCTGCGAAACGCCGCCCAGCAATGAACTGGAAATGGTGCTAGCCGAACAGCTGGAGACGGATGGAGTGCGTCTGACAGCGCATCCATATTCAACACCGGTGAGTACTATATACAAAAATATAATAAGATGCCACTGATTGCCAGTTAAAGTAAGCTTTCGGCTTGCCATAGCAGTTGCTGTTGATTAGCGCCGGCTGCTGGGCCGTGTGCACCACCCGTATGCCACCCGTGGTGCACACCAAGCTGTCAACTGCATTGATTATACATGGCTGTCAGCTCCGCCTAGACCTTGCCAGCAGTTGGACAGCTACTCATCAGGCTAAAAGCTCACACTCTGGCTCTTACACAATGCTCAGTTTTCATTAAATGTAGCTCACACCACGCTCTCTCGAAAAACCTATTCAAACTCTATTTCCTGGCAAGTTGAGCCAGCTTTGTATACTCTGTACAAAGAGTTGAAAGGGTATACAGGTTCAGTTCAATGACAGTGTGAATGTCTGTTCGTCTGCTTGTATGGCTGCAACAAACACAGTTTTGAAGTCACAGTTTAAGAGTAATACAATAATATTGTTTGATTTAATGTAGACCTTTTTGTATAAGGCACAATGTTCGGTTGATCAATTTATTTAAAAATTCTGGGAACATGTATCTCGCTATTGAATATAGAGCTCTTACAATTTAAAAGCCGCAGTTTGAAAGTCTCCATAATCAATTTTAAGATTCACTGAAGACTTCTGAAAATTTAAAAATATATAATCTGTTCCCATCAACAAACTCTTTCAGCGCTTTTTCGAGCTATTTTTACCCTAACAAACAAAAAAACTGAGCATTTCCTAGTCCAGCAACTTTTCGACCTTTGATAACACAGAATCCGATTGCAAACAAAATTGCAAAAACTTAAAATTGTTTTAAATTGCGCTCAGGTGCGCCACCGCCGCGCCTTACCGCATCTCGCCTCAATTCAGTTCAGTTGAGTTCAGTTTGAGTTTTAGTTGAGTTCAGTTTTGTAGCCACCCACAACAAAAGGTCGACCGAAGCAAAGCAAAGCCCGACAAACTATTCAATGTCAGTTTACATACTTAAATTAAAATTCTCCGACAAGCAAACTGCTAGAAGCAGAACTAGAGATAGGGGATTTATAGAGAGAGCGAAAGGGAGAGAGAGATAGCAAGATGAGGTGCAGAGTGCAACGTTTTTAAATGTCAACCCGGTCTACACTTGACAGTAAAATGGAGCACATTTAAACGGTAGCCCCGGTAGTTGCCGGCGGTCGCTCATTGCCGTCCGATGCTGTCCCCAAATGGCTTTTGTATGCAGCTTTTGGCTTTGGTGCCGTCTCGAGTGTCATGATGTTGCTCCATTGTTCTGCTTCAGCTTCTGTTGCTGTTGCTGGGCGGGTTTGGGGCCCCTTTTGTAGGACTCTCAGGTAGGCGACATATCATGTGCCATTTTATATGTACCAAAAGGCACCGACGCGTCGCGTTTGCTTTTGGCCAACAATTGTGGAACACTCTCAATGTTTTTCGGCAGCATTTAAAAAATGCCTCGACCTGCGTCCTCTACGCCCTTGGCTTTGTGTAATTAAAGTAATGCTTGAGGAGCAGACAGCTTTGCCAAAGACAGAAGAAACAAAAATCCGGTCTCCAATTTATGTGAATCCCAATCGTTGATGGCCACATGCATGATTCAGAGCCGGCCAAAAGTGACTTTAAGCCCTTTGTGATTTATTATGCAAAAGCTGAAATTATAAACTGACCGCCGTCTGACAGCTTATAGTACAACATATCTCCACACACTGTTTGGCAACTTGTGGAATTCGCACGTCAATCGTGTTGCAAAATGTAATTTATATATATGTATGAGAGGGAGACAGGAATCCCATATATGTGAATATATTGTATATGCTGCATGCAACATCCTGCCCCCAATAAAGTTGCGGCTTCGTTGGCGGCAACGCGACGCTTGCCGCACAAATCACGTCATTGAGTTGTTTTCATCAAAAGGGCAAGCATGCAGCTTCGTCCAGCTACGCTCAGTTTGGGCCAGCTCCTCAGCACCGGCCAGTTGTTCGTTTTGTTGATGAGTCTGCGGCTATCAGAGCGTCTCAGGTTGCCAGCAAGTTGCCCCAAGTCTGCTGTTGGCTCATTCATTCATTTGCTGACGTCTCGTACGACCGCCCTTCCTCCCCGCCCAACTCTTGCTGTCTGTCGCTCGTTCGTTTTGTGTATTTTTATCCGAAAACTATCTGGCTGCCTGACGACTTCTTGCAGTTTTGTATCTGCGTATCTGCTGGCATACAATTTTTATTTATTACTCATTCAGCTGCAAAATTGTTCCTTAATTGCCCATATCAGCTGAGAAATGAAATTTATTACCTGGCGTGTGTATATCGCCAGTGCCAGTCAGCCAAACAACAGCCCAACTGAAACATACTACAGCAACACACAGACAACGTCCTAAACTTTTGCCAGCCGCATCATTATCAGCCTCGTCTGTGGCAGCCACACAGCATCCGACTCGACCAGCAACAGCAGCAGCAGCCGCATCGACATCATTAGTTTTGTGCGCCGCGCCGACAACGTTTTGTATATTTACTTAATATTGCAATGGTCTGTGCACTGTGCAGTGTATGTGTGTGTGTGTGGGTTTGGTGTGCGTGTATGTGCCCACAGTCCTGTCCTGGCGTCCATTTATCTCGACGTGAACGTGGACAGCAACCTTCTGTGATTTCTGATTTCTTATGCCAATTTACTCTCGACCAAAGACTGCGCGCTTGATGCTGCTCCATATTGAGACCCATCATCATCATCATCATCATCATTATAATCATCATCATCATCTCATCATACTCATCAGCAGGCTTTGCCTTTGCCATAGATCAAAAGACAGTTTGCTTTAGTTTTCCTCCCTGCTGCACAGTTCGCCGTTTCGTTGTATAATTTTATTTTATGTGCTTGTAGCCTTGACCAGGTCAAGTTGTTTTGGGGTCGAGCTGCCTCAGCTCCACTCAACTGGACTGGTCCGGGGGCCAGGTTCTGTATCTTTTTCTGTTACTGTTTCTGAACTTGGTTGACTTTAAGTTATTTCAGCGCTTGGGCTTTATTGATTTGTCCTCTTTGGTCTTCTGCCTGAGCTGTGGCATGATTTCATTTTTATGAACTTGACTTTTGTGCATTTTCATTTTGATTTCGGTTCTAGCCACGACTGTCGACGGCTCCTCGTCTGCTTCTTCTTCTTCTTCATCTTCTTCACTATGAGCATTTTCTGCGTATCGTGGCAAGTAATTGCCGCAATTCAATTTGTTCATTTTGCCTACGTGCTATGTGGCTTTATTATTTGTTGTTCAGGCTTACAAATAAGCCCTTTGCCCGGGCCTAATTTAATATTATATAATTGCACAGGACAGCAGATTAGAAAGCGTACTCAATGATTTTCATGTTTAATTATTTATAATTATTTTGATTTTGTCTAGCTAGATAAATATGTGTGTGCATAGGAAATCTAGTCAAACCTTGATTTCGATAATAATTATTATTTTTGACATTTTGTTGTTGATAAATTTATGATTTGAATTTCGCATAAATATAAATTGCCTTATAAATATATTTATAGAGTATAAAACTAGAGGGCATTATAATTTCATCATCAACTGTGTGAAGCATATATAGACAGGAACCCTTCTATGCGTCACACATTTGGGGACGAAATTTTAATTCCTGCGACATTTATAATCTATAAATATATTTATAAGACAATTTATATATATACATATTAATATATATACATTCAGTATGAACAGATGGTTCGATAAAACCATGTCCTGCCTGTCTGTTTCTTTATATGAAGAATCAGTCGAAAAACGTCTTATTTGGGTCTAAAACTTTTATATTTTCACCGACCGAACTCAGTATTAAAGAGCTGTACTATTCTCTTAAAATACATGATATGGCATCTATAGCAACAGTCTCTCGCAAATAAGGCTTTTGCATTAAACATATCTACGCTTCGTGTGGAAGGGTATTACATGTTTCGCTTGTTGTTGGATTTTCTTTCTAATTTGTTATGTCTAGAACTTTATCTGTATCTGAATTTACGCAGTCAAAGTTTTGCTTTGAAAATATGTCTTCTTAATTAAACAAATTATAGCAAAACTCTGTCCAAAACTTGTTTGTAATTTATATGCGCTACACACACGCAACCGCGCACACACACATACACGCACGCACGCACACATCCTTTTGACCCGCATGTGTAGCATATTATTAGCCTGCATTTCGGAGCATGCACTTATCCTGCCCTCGTCCCTTTCATTGCGTAAATTAAAACATAAGAATTAAGCATGCCCCGCCATACGACATCAAAGTGGCCAATTTTCGCTCAGCTGGCCATAAAATTTGCATAGCACCTCGGATGTTGGCCTCGAACCAGTACCAGAAACAGTGCCTTAATCAGGCATTTAGCACCAAAATGTAAAACTACTGCGAACGCATTCATTGCTCATAAAAAATTAAAGTCTAATTGTGGACAAAGGCAGAGTGGAAAAGCGACCAACGATTCGCGTACTCATTTTCAGATTCAGGTTCACGTTCACGTTCATGTCCTTTGTGGCAATGGGCAACGGTCAACGGACAACGGGGCGGATACACGTTTTGTTTTTCTTTTGACTCGCCCCAACGACTAAGGGCGCGAGAGACCCTAAACTAAACGGCGCAGCTGCGGCCCAAGCCGGAACCCTCTTCAATGGCTGCGGCAATCGGCTGCGTGCTTTTTAATTAATTTAATTGCAATTTAATTACGCTTGATATTTAATTAAACACATTGGCAACTGAAGGAGGCGTTCGTGCAAATTGCATGCAAACTTTTTTGGCAGCACTCGAAACAAAATCAACACACATATAGAGAGAGCATATGTGTGCATGTGTGTGTGTATGAGAAATTCGAGTGCTTGTAGTTTGGCAATTGTGGCTTAATTAGACATGCAGTTAAATTGATTTGCCCGTTAGCTACGTGTCTGTATTGGGCCCTGTGCAGCGCACATTCAATTTGTAGACGTACTCAGTTGCCCATTGATAATTGACGATTAATTTAATAGAATGTC